GAAATTATTGATAGAGATGACCCACTGCATTCATTCATAGATTTCGATTTACTGCAAGAAAAACTAAATAAAATAGAACTTGAAGTGGTTGATGTTTGATTAGATATTTTTTTTTGCTATTTAACTGTTGAGTTGCTTGCTGTATTATTTGCTTTTTTTTGTTTTGTTCGTTATTTAATAAATAAAGAATAGGACTCTAAACGGTTATCGTTTGATTAGATTTTTTTCTTCTTTTCATCCAATCATTAAATTGCTTGCTATATCATTCACTTTTTTTTGTTTCATTCGATATTTAATAAAATAAAGAATATGACTAAATAGTTATCGTTTGATTAGATTTTTTTTTCTATCCTACCGTTGAATCGATTGCTAAATCGTTCGCTTTTTTTTTTTTAGTTTTCCTTTTGTTTTAATGTTATGCTAAATTTAAATTACATTACAAAACTAAAATAAAAGTAAAATTAGTGCCAGTATATACCAAAAAATATTTAAATCCTTACTCTCGACCTTTAATAAAGTTTAAAAAATTCAATTTCTTATAGATTAATAAAGAAATCACCAATAATATCTACTTAGTATATTTTTTCTTTAAATTAAAGTAACAAATACAAATACTAACCCAAAAATGAATAATGAAAGCCAAAATATAGAAATATCTTCAACTTCTAATAAAAAAAAATGTAGCTGCTGTTATTGCATAATTAAAGTTAAGGATTTTTGTTGTCCACGAGGAAACAATCCGTATTATGACATTCAACTTGCAATAAGTACTATGAAAAACGTAAAAGTAGGTGAGAAAAAATAGATATAATCACTAGCAAAAGAAAACAACTTGAAGCTAATCCAACTGTGGTTACTAATTCAGTTGCAGTTGCGAATTTTAATCAAAGTGATCTGTATAATATAAACCTTGAACATGATAGCGATTCTTCTAAAGATTTGCCTTCATATTTTCTGCATAAAGATAACATGCAGAGTGACCAAGATATAGAATATATCGATAAATTCA